ACATTGTTATAGTAATTAAAAGAGTATTTGATTTTACTTAACTTGTTTTATTTATTTTTTTACTCAAAAGTTCTATGTGCTAATGTTAACTTATATATCATACTTTCTTATTATCTAAATTTCTTTTTAGTTGACTATTTTAGTATTTCTAACAACGGGTTTAATGTCAAAACATTTTATATATTTATTTATCATTAGAATATAAATGACTATTCTATTAACTGATGTCGAAGACAGAGTATATAAAACTTATCATTAGTGAACAGTATTAAGCAATACCTAATTCACTTTTCATTTTATTTTGATAATTAAAAAATATTTTTTTTTTTTTTACTCAATAATTGTGCTCATTATTCATGAAGAATATATATTTTGAGAACTACTATAGTAGCGTGTATGTACTCCTCTGAGCTTAAAACATTGTTCAACAAAGTATGAAATAATCATCATTTTACTGTGCTTTATTAACATAATTTACTGTATTTACACCGTACAATACACTTTAGTACATTTTTTATTCTTTAAGATTTTTGAATTTCGAGTCTTATAATTTATAATTTACAAAGACTTCTACATAGAAAAATATTAAGATCCAAATTATAGTATTTGTTTTACAAATGATGAGTAAAACGCAATAACAACTCAATAGTTATAGGTTTATATTGGATTCATTGTGTATTAACATGATTCGTGCGTAGTTAATTATGTTATTTGTTTTTTTCAAGTTTTCGTATTGCGTTCAATGACAATATAATTATTATCTTCATTAATATCCTTTACATAACAATATAAATTATTTTCAGTAACCGAATAAAATAAATTAGGGAAAACATTCAGTATAAAGATATATTATAAATATACTATATTCTACATTGTTAGTCGGTAGTCGATTGTCATTTCTACTCAATACACTTAGGTTTTTTAATATCGAAAATTTTTGTGTTATTAATTAAAAAAATTAAAATAATTACGAAGAACACACTACACCCGCGATTGTAGTCTCCTTCTTACAAATGCATGCCTAGTAAATTTACACTCAGCTATTCACGTTTAGCTTCGTTAACTTTAATATTATATGGTAAATCTACTATGAAACTTTATCTGTTCTAAAAACTTTTTTTGTTATCGTATTTACAATAATTCAATTTTGTAACATTGCGTTAATAAAATAACGCAATTTTAAAATCCTTATATAACTCACTTAATAATAGAATCATCATAAAAAATGAATACATTAAACGTTCTTACCATTAAATTTCATAATAGGTTATTCACTTTAATATTTAAGCTTATGAAGCTAAACGTGAACTGCTGAGTGTAAATAATTTGCTATGTCACGCACTTATATAAGATAGTGACAATAAATGCGGGGTTGACGTCCTTTTAAAAGATAAATTCAAATTTCAAAATGATATATTGTATAAAATAGATAAAATATAGGTAACCTAGGTGTATTATAATAATAATAATACACAACAGGGCAGGACTTTTCCAAATATCATTGAAGAAAAATTTTACCACACCAATTTCATATGTGCTTACGGTATGGCAGTATAGCACATAAATGATTGATTATAAATTATATGTTTATATAATATATGTCGTGATTTTATACAGTTAGTTTTTTTAAATATACATGATTTATAGTAATAACAGGCTAAGATTTTTTAATTGAATATTGTAATAAATTGATTAATAAATTACAGAAAATGTATATTAGTTTATAATTAAATCATAAAATTGAACGTATCACTAAATAATTACAAAAATTGAAGTACATATTTTGTAACCGTAAAAACCATTTTTTGAACTAAAATAATTATCAAATTAGAGTATTATTTTATAATTTTTTTTTTTATATATTAATTTCGTTGTTTTAAAACTTATTATTCTTATTATATTCAATCAATTTATAATTTTGTGTAATTTTTACAAAGTTCAAAATTTTTAAAATGCAGTGCAATAATTGTATTAAGTTATATTGCTAAAAATCTACAATAATCTAAATCATATTTATAGTAACATTTGAAATGACTTGCTCCGTTATACTGTTCTGAGGTGATGCTGCAGTCGCTATTAATGTAAATTGCAGCTTTATGCATTGAAGGAGTTCGGTAAACGAAACATAAGAGCAATTGGTAAGCGGCAATAGGGCCTTCCCACTATCATAATTTATTTTTTATAAGTATTTATAATTCATAAATAATATCAAAATATTTAATATACTAACTTTTAAAGAAAACCAAGCGTACGTCCTCTTTTTAAAAATAAAATAAATATACATTTAATATAAAAAAAAATTTGATAGTGTCATTTTTTATGCTATGGATGGTGTGTGAAGTGACAATTCCTGTACCTTTTATTTAAAGAAGCTTGAGTGATAATCATAATATAACAATAACATTTTACATAAAAAATAAAAATTTAGCAAGATTTCAAAAATTATGCTGAAGGGGTATTTCCTCGTTAGGGAGAGGAGAAGGTTATGTCACTCATAGCCCATAGGTCTGTTACAAATTTGTCTAGCTTCCCCCGAGTGAAAAAATTGAATTTTACCCTATACCTACATCATTCACCGATTTATTATGGATTTTTGGAATTCAATTGCAGGCCTATTAAGAACCCCTGGTTTAATGACAATATTATTTTGCTTATATAGATACACTTTTATCATTTCACATGTTTAAATATTTTTCACGCGACTATTGCATAATAAGTTAAAAGTTAATAATAATTAATACACGTTAATTATGAAAAAATATAATCTAAAATGATTATTGTGTACCTAACTATTTTAGTCCACTATCGCTAATAATATAAAATATTAAATTATTATTTATTCATAATTGCTCTTCATTCATCATCGACTTTTTACATCATCCTTTGATTGGAGCGTATCTAAAAATTAAAAACGTTACTTAGACGTATACGGTTTTAACCGAGGAATCTGTTATAACAGGCTGTAGCCAACTAAACTTTGAGATGAAATATATTTAATTAAATGTATCTAAAATGTTCAATAAGTTGAAAATATATTTTGTTTGTCATCTTGCCAATATTTATGTAACGAAAAAATATTTCAAAAATTTGAGAACAGTTGTTATTACTAAATTTTAAGTTTTGTACGTTATGAACTATAATTAATTTATAATTATATTTTTTATTGTAATATTCTAGACTTTATAGTTTCTCATGGTTTTGTTTCAGTTCAGTAATTTTGCTTAAATTTAAATGGTGTTATACTTAGTTGTAGCCGTTATATTTTTGAACTTTCAAAAAACTAAAACGCACATTAGTGTGAATTTTAGTAAATTCATAAATTAATTTAAAGTTTAACGAACAGTGAAATAAAATTTAAGTTTATTATTATCTTGTAACTCGTTAAATTATATATTTTTGTACACTATACAGATATGACGATACAATGTGTTTAAGAGCTATTTTGTATGGGTATAATAAATATTTATAAAAAAAAAAGCTTCAGATTTATGTAACTAACGTTGGATTTAGTGATATCACAAATCAAATTTTATGATCTATACACATTTGATACACATAGACGTTTAAAAAACGATTTTTTAATCAAATTTTTGAACAAATTGAATTTATTCTGTAGCAGATGATTGCATGTGTATAATGTAATATATTACATTCGTAGGAAATATTATATGATGTATAAAGCCAAATGTTTTTCTTAGTATCTATATCAAGCAGTGCATCAGGGGTTTGGTTGTACCTGAATCGTTGTAAAAGTTTTAAAATAAATAGATCTTATATAATACCTACACGGGTGGGATGACATGACGGATTGTAATATTCAATTATATCTTCTATAGTTGTATAAAAATATTATACATTTCACATATTATCATACATATTTTATAAGAATGTATAACTGTGTCATTTTTATAAACACACACACACACATATATATATATATATATACCTGCTCGTAATAAAACCATGTATTGTATTCGTGTACTGGCTTTAAACGCGGATTCATAATTTTAATACTTTAACAAACCTTGTAATTCTTATATGAACACTAAGCGAAAAGGAAATTTCCTGTAAGTGCGAGTGCAAGTGCATGTCTTAATCAACCACATTGTATTAGTTATAATATATACAATACAATACGACATAACACTTTTAAGGGGTGGCTGAATGGGTAAAAAGTACATTCAATATTTACCCATGAACTTGGAAAGTAGTTCAGCGCAGACACACTTAAACAGTGAAGGTTGAATTCCCTTCCACAGAAATCCTTCTCTATGTGCGTACCGAGTTCGGCGAAACTACATTGAACATAATACGGATCGTGCCGAAAACAATATACCTATTACGTTATCGTTCTGGAACAACGATAATGCCCACCCGATGACGTTTGCTTTATAAAAAAAAAAACCAACTCGCGTTTCTGATATTATGCTGACCCGAGAAACGAACAGTGGAGACGTCACGTTTGCGTCATCGCGTCTCACAACAATCCGTTAAGGGATATCTTATATCAATGGTGGTGGCGTTTAATAATAATACTATTTATTGTCGTGGTTATTAATAATAATAATTGTTATTAGATATTAATAACCGCAGAAATAATCATCGAGGCAACGCTCGTGCGCCGTCAACTCCTCCGCCTGCGTACGGCAGCCAAAGCCGCGGAACGAACGTTTTTCCAGTAAACTCATCTACCTACGCGCCCGGCGAGAACAGGGTGGTGACGGCTCCGGGTGGCTGGCATATACGCTCCTCCGTATCTATACCCCCCCGCCGAAGATCCGTTCGCAAACCGGTGGGGAGGGAATGGAAATTAATGGTTTTCGTTTTTGCGCGCCGCGGAGGAGAAACGGAGGCGTGGCTCGCGCGATCGTCGTGCGCACGGTCTGCGCGGCGGCTGGGACCGCGTCGGGACGGCAGCGTCAACGGTGGTGGTGGGCGGCGGGTAGAGCCGACAGCTACGACGACCGCGACGGTGCACTAGCACTACACGACGACGACCGTCGCCGCCACTACACGCCACCGACAGTTCACAGCGGACCGTACTTCACGACGCACTGCTGCTGCAGCTGTCGATCATTGCACTCTGCCGTCGCCTCTACCACCACCATCTCCACCACTACTAACTACTACTACTACTACTACTACTACTATTATTACCACCTGAGTAGTAGGCGTTGCAGCAGTAGCCGACGTGTCTCGGTATCGTCCGCGTGCGGATAACATTAATAAAAAATAGACATCACTCCGCTCTGGGACGCATAAGTTTTTTTTTTTTTCATTCAATTCGAGGCTTATCCCCCAACGCTCCAACTGTCCCAAGTCCCGACCCTCCCGAGACCCGAGTCCCCGCACGCATCACGTCCGTTTTTTCTCTTGACCGTGTCGCCGCAAAACTGGTAACAATTTCGCACCGCCACAGCTACCCGACGTAGTAGTAGCCACGGCACCCAAACGACCGCCGCCGTACCGCACGACCGCCGGCCGCAGCCGCCGCCACTGCTGCACCACTGCAGCGCGCCTTAACGACGACGGACAACCGCACAGCTGCACCAGACCGCACCAGACGCACCGCTATGTCGCATCATTTCGCCGCCGACGGAGACGTCACTGGAGTGCCCCTCAAGTCGACGGTAAGTAATTGCGGCAGCGACCGCGCTTGCCCCACATTATAATAATATACCTATTGCGATATCGTTAATTTAATTGATTTTTATTTTTATTACATTATGTTATTACATATTATTACCTCCCGGGGACACTGCCGTCACCACTTGCACCACCCGCCGCCACTAACCACCGTCCCGTAGATTATGCGTTAACGCCACTGGTTTTGCGCTGGTTCGGCCTTTTGGCGGAAGTATTTTTATTTATTAATTAATTAATTTTTTTTTTTTTTTTTATATATATCGTTTTTCCACCTGCACTCGGCGAAAGCGCAACGCGTGTTTCCCTCCCCGATTTTTCACGAACCCACACGATTTTGTACGTTTTTCCGTCACAACGAGGGGGTTGATACGCGTGTTATCGCACCGCTGCGGCCGCCGACTCACGTGCTGGCCAGATGCCGAGGTTCGATATATATATTTACATATATATATATATAAATATAAATATATATATTTATATGTATATAAATATACGCACCGCGGCACATTGGTTCGCAAAAAAGGGTTTCTATGATAATATGTTGTAAACGTGTTATTATAATATCTATATCAATTGTCTATAGTGTTGTTTAGAAATACCACGGTTTTGATGTTGTGGATACTTGTTATTTAAATTAATTATAAGATTTTCCCTACATAAGATTACAAAAACGTTTTCGCATTCGGTAAAATCAGTTTTTTCCTAGATTTTTCAACTTCTATGGGTTCCTTGAAATCATAATATTAATATATAATATTATTATACTGTTATTTGTATTTGGTGGTACGGCTTTTTTTTTCTTGACACGCTTGCCCGTTTTCAGGTCGGGGTGGGTATACCTGTCTCGGCCGAAGATATAATCCTACAGACTTTCGACAATGATGACAGAAAACTGCAGGTGTGCGTATGTATGCTTTGGAAATCTAATAGAAAAAAATGTATTTTAAAAACCGAATTCTATAACGTTTGTCTCACCCAAAATTCTACACGCTTGGATATTATCTCTACATCATAATATATCTAATAATAATTATGTCATGTTTTTTATAATACTATTATTATTTTTTTAATTTTGTTATAACAACAATGTTCTTCCAACTGAAATGCATGTGAGAGCTTGTTTGTTGGCATGCCACGATTTTATACCATGACGATATAATATTATTTTGATTTTATTATAATATTATATTATTATATACGCAGGGTTAACGAAAAAGTGTTCGTTTATACTAGCGCGTATTGTATCAAAATTTATACTTACACTTTCTGCCAGTTTTATTACAAAAAATGTTGATGACCGTTTATATACTAATAATTAATTACATGTCTAAATGTATACATAATTTAAATAGATTTGTATTAGACGATTGAGTGGACATCATATTCGTATATGTTGTCTCTGTCTTATTAACGTACAATATAGCAAATTTGCATTCAATAGAATCCGTTTTATGCTGTCAGTTGCTCAATTATCTAACTTAAAAGTAAGAATATCATCTAGGGCATTACATAGGCTTTTATCGATATTTTAGTCATTAGCGTTTTAAGTTATAATATTTTTCATAGCTATAACTCAGTTTAAGATTAAAATATCAATAAAAGCCTACGTTATACCCTAGGTATCCTAGGTAACCTTAAAGTTGAAGATTAAGTAAATTTACTCTACGATTAAAACAAACAGCATAAAATGGATTCTGCTGAACTCATATTTGCTACGGTGTCCGTTAGTAAGGCGAAGACGACACATGCGAGTACGACGTCTTCTTAAATACCTATACAATAAAAGATAATAATAATATAAATATATTATTATATTAATAACTATTAATAACTTAGTACACGCAACGTGCCGTACGCGCGATTGTGTGTGTAGCGTGCAAAGACCGCTTTCATTCATTCTGAGTGGGCAACTCGAAATATTGTTACATTCTGTTGTATTTTTTAATTATTTTTTATTGTTTCCATAATATGCCTAGTTCGATTTATATAACACATGCAGACATGCAGTAATAGTAAATTACCACAGTAATAGTATTAATGATAATAATAATAATGATACGATACATTCGTTTATACATAATTACATATGTATAGATATTATTGTTAGTAGTAGTGCTTACGAGCTGCTGTGTTATTGTTTTAATATTATTATTGTTGTTATTTTTTGTAACTTGTAATTAAAATTTAACACTAGCTAATTTGTCACTACAGCAGTGCAGCGTACGAATAAACGGACATCATTACTACATTAGTGTAGTATAACATTTTTACATTATATATTGTAGACACCGCCACCGAATAAAATTCACTTTTTTCATCCATATTTAGTTTTTTTATTGTGACGACAGTAATTACGACACACGGGCTGACAAACAATTTACACAGCTTTTTACGTGGTCTAAAAATCTGTTCGTATCATTCCAGTGTAAATATTGAACATGAATTGGGGTCCGGAACACCAAACGCGATTCCCATTTTATTTATTTTACTACGCGCAGTCGCTTAGGCAGTCTATGTCTAGTTGTTTAGTTAATATTTCTATAAACTATTTGAATCAATTTCATTGGTATTAAAACGATGGTTTATAGGTAGGTTACGTTCAATATATAATAATATGATTGTGATACCACATGCGCGAATGTACGCAACCTTCCGGAATATTAATACACCCGACTTCCACAACACTAAAATTAAACTTACAATGATATTTTGTATTATATTATTATGATTGTATTGCAACAAGATTTTCGAGTTTTACCACAAAAATAATTTTTTTTGAAAACTTGTCCTCACGATTCGTTGTGCTGCATTAGTTAGTCAATGTTACAAATTACAATCGATTCTAATTGTTGGTATTTTTTTCTGGTACCATTACGACTTTTAAAATGGGTTTCAATTTCTAGTTTTGACATCCTATAATGCTGCTTGTACACATGTGTATAATAATATGCCATTATGTTATATTATTTTTATACTTAAACACGTACACAATGAGGGCAAACTGGTTTTACCATTTTCATACAATAATAATGTTATGTTTGTGGGATCCCATTTACCTACTTAAAAATAACCTATTACACCATCCTCAATATACAAGTGATGCCTGCCCATAATCCCATCATCCCAAAATTCTATACTACCACGAGATGTGTTCGTTTACATACTATATAACAATATTATTATATAACATTTTGTTGGTGTAGCAAGACTTGTCAAACATTTAGACTTGTCCATTTAACATTAAATTTGCATGTTAACCGTATAATGTATTAAATGTTAATATGTTATATAGTTGCGAGTCAATCAATCTATTATTCGTTTGCGAGTTGTCCCTTAAACTTCCTATGCCGAACAATATGTTTTTTTCTAGTACTCGTTTTAATGTTTTTTTATTGTATTATTCGTTTGCGGCTTCCATTTTTGTATAATATTATAGTAGTTAATTATAAAGAAACGTCGAAACGATAAAATAAACTAATCGTTAATTTAGGTTTTTTTATTGTATTCAATACAAATATACTTACATTATTCGTATTCTTCAAATATGTATAGGTGAACGTGCGTTTATTCACTTCCACATAACCATATGTATAGCTGATATATACGACGCATATTATGCAAATACATTTAATCAATGTTTAAAAGTCTGTTAAGTATACTTCCGGGCTTTAAAAATAATTATCGATTGGTAAACAATCATCATGACATCGGTATAAAGACGTTAAGTTATTTAATGAGAACGAAAAAAAATTCTAAATAATATGGTATTTGCCACAACAGTATACACACTCTAACATGAATAATTGAAGCGATCGTCGATAAAACTAATAACAATTCAATTTATTTCTACACAACACATTAAACATTAAACAGTGATTTCATTGAATAAAATTGATCCACCGCGTCATTATTTAACCATTCTAGTCTTAAAGTATAATATTCTCTATTTCCATAATGTAATATTTCTTATGAGGGTTCTAACTTTGAACGATTTATTATTATTATTATATTCTTTTGTATATTATAAATGTATAATGCTATTTTTACGGGGTATTTCGATCGCCTATTTTTTATTTCTTTTTAGGAAACAGCTACCCCCTGTAACGCGGTCGAAAATAACTTTGTATACTTTTTTCATATTAATAATGTATTTAAATTCCTGTATAATCATATTGTGTACTAAAACTTGTAGTTGATTACAAAAGTGTCGAGTGCGTTTTAAATTTTAATATGCACTTAAAACGTTATGGCCACTCCTCTTATTGTCGTTGAACAAACATTGTGTTCTATTTTAGTTAGGTAAGCGACTAACCAATAGATGGTTTTTTTAGGACAGAAATGATTGATTTCTATTGGGGTAAGCGGGAAACACGAGAAATGAATTCTATACCAAAAATTGTGAACTTGCTTTATTGAGTAAGTTTAATACATTATAGTCGTCATATTTAATGCTAAAAAAATTTTTTCTTGTTTTACAAATTGGTGATTTCATTAAGTATACTAGTTAGATGTTGTGAATATAGGAAATCGAAACTTTTCGAGTAAATTTCAAAGAACTTGTATTGTTTATAAATAATGTTTTACAAACAAATATGAAAACTGTTCTATAGTTACATTTTATTTTTAAAATATTTCGATGGATATTCTTAAACTGAATTTTTATAAAAATGTTTTTACCTGATCGATGTTAGTATGCTATTTTGTTTGTTAAAAATATATGACTGTTAATACAACTCTATCATAACTATTTGTTCTCGTATATTAGATCTACCTTTTCATATATTTACATAAAAATGGCTATAAAGATAACAACAGAAGTTGATCACTTTCAAAAATAAAACCAATATATTCTATTCTTATTGTGTGTAATATGCGTATGTGGTATTTGGTCGATATGGTTTTACATTTTCTTTATTAAACCGAAAAGTTTTATTCTCTGTCACATCTGATCCAGTATAACTGTTTAAGGAACGCCAAGGTTTGTTTAACATTGAATGACCTGTCGGGGATGGACGTAAATCGAAAATGTTTAAGTCAGTCTGGTCACGTACAAGCGGTGCTTGTTTTGAATATACTTAGTGCAATGTTTTATCTGACGGTCGTGTAAAAAACGGACTGAAGAATAACGTACAGAGTAAAAAATGTAAAACAGTTTTTTTTAAAAATATTATTCTTACTGCATATCGCGCAAGAGGTTGAACAATTTTTCCTATCGATATTTTTTTACTGGCACCAGCTATTTAGTTTTTTCTAAACCCGGTAAGGTCATGTCAAACTTAAAAATAAATTAGAACATCCAAGTAATTCTTGAATGTCAAATGATGTATTTCTTTTCCTCCCACCATACACCTACAGAACCGATGTATATTTAGCATCTGGCATCTCGTACACTGTAGCAACAAAAACACTCGTATGCTGTAAGGGTGGGGAGTCGGGTAAACAACGTAATGTGTTATTATTATAAAAAAATAAAAAATAAAAATGATAATAATTGAAATTAAAAATATATTTCAATGTTGTGACACACTAACATTACATTAACTGATTTCACGAAGTTTATTTTGAAATTAATTACATTTTTCTTTCGAACTGAGTGTGTAGTAACAATTAAAATACACTTAAAATTTTCAAATTATGTGTACAAATGTTAGTATGCAATACAAATTGTAACCAAAATTATTCTTTAAAATATGTGACTTATTTTTAGAAATTTAATCATTATTAAATATTTTAAACAAAGTACGGACTGGTTAACTGATAGTGTTCATTGGCTTAAACATTACCAAATATTATAATTTAATAGACGTGGCCGTATTCATAACAATTTCTTAAAAATGTATAGTAAATACTAATATTATTATCTCAATAAATGGCTTTTACGCTACTATATTCCCTTCCGTAGTA